ATTTCGTTCCACCGCCATCTCCATCATACAGAACTGTCAGTAAAGGCCAAATTTTAGCAGTAGAAAAAGAAAACATTGCCAGAGCAGGTGCTGCAGCAAACACCAAAAACTTGATGAAACCGAGACGAATTTCCATTGCAACTGGGCGAGCTCCTCCTTCAACAGGGCAGGTTTTCCAGCCCAAGAGGCGGGTTTCCATTGCTACCCTCCGCCCAGAATCTAATTTGCACATGTCAACACCGCTCCGTACCAACTCTTTTTTGCAAAATGCCAGTTCAGTAAGCCGGCAATCATTTGTAAAGGACCCGCGGAAGGCTCGGTACTCCAGACTTTTCTCCCCAATGCCTGCATTGAGGGGAGCATCAGAAACAACACCCGTTGCTATGAAGAGCAGCAGCAAGTTCATGGGAAGTCCTCCAACACAACAAGTGGGTTCATGGAAGCCGAAGCACCCTACTGTTGTCGCCTTGCAACGCAAATCCATTGTCTGGAGTCCACTCAAGTGGAGAGGGATGAAGAATATGAAGAGGCCTTCTCTGTTGCCTTCTCGCCCTTCATCCGAAGTGCAATGACGTAACTCGTGCACGCTTGCTCTTAACATCCTCAAAATTGTATGCGTCTTGCTTACGAGTCAGTTATTCTTGGTACAAGACAGACATCTCGGGAGATCTATCATTCATGTACACAGGCAATGACATTTTGAAGAAACTTGAATGGTAAGAGGATTAGGTTGAAGGAATTTAGTTGCTGTGGATTAGCCCTTCCTGTGCTTGTTGGTTTCATTTTGTGATAGCTAGGCACAACAATCTCCCTTTTTTGTTACTTTTTTTTCCCTTATTGCTCACTTTGTTTCAAAATACATGGGAACTGCAATCGAGTAGGAACACATTCATCAGATTGTTTTGTTGATAGCATCTTTAAAGCACTCGAGAACACTTGATCTTTTACAGCTGGTTACCAATTTCGGTTGGGGAAACAAGAATTTCTGTGTACAGGTATAATCTCGAGTTTTTATTATCCGCTTGAGTTCATAAAGACTCGACTCGATTGAGGGAAAGAGCGACTAGAATTCACGTAGATGAGGAAGATCACCTCTTTCATATTTGGACCACTAATTATAAAAAAATCTCGTGTTTGGATCATTCATTCAAAATTTAACTCGTGGGTTGCCTAATCCATGCTATTAGTATCCAAGTTTTTGCTCGTGTTTCATCCAATTCACGAGATTACTAAAAAAAAACCGACAATCTAATTTAATGGAATCAAATGCAAATTGATGATGACAATAAATCGTGGCATACTATATTGGCAAGCATATTGGACGTGGGAAACGTCCGAGCAGAATCTAAATCAATAGTTTCATGTATTTGCATTTACATGCTTTCAAGAAATCAATTAATGAGAATTATTTCAAAAAGAAAACGGCCCGACAAAAGGGCTAATAAATTTACAAAAGCAAAAAGTCAACGAGAATGAAATTTCCTTTTTCGGAGAAACCAATATAATAATAAGAAGAGAGAGAAAGTAGCCGTTTCTTGCATGCCCCTCGCTCCCTCCTATGATCTCTCTCTCTGTGTGATTGGACCGTTGGGGGACCCCAAAAAAGGATCCGTTACCACGACCCACTTCGTTTGCCTCCTCCTCCTCCTCCCCCACTTCGAAGGAGACAGAGACAACAAGAAACTCGAGTGGAACAAAAAGGAGTTGCCATTGCCAACACAAGTCCACCTTTTTGAAGAGAGAGAGGGAGAGAGGGAGAGGCCCATTTGATTTCAAATCCTTGGTCACTGGCTATAATGTGGTAATTGATTGGTAGGGGAGTGAGAGAGAGAGAGAGAGAGAGAGAGAGACAGAGAGAGAGAGATCAGAAAGACTTGGTCCTTCTGTTTAGTTTAACTTGTGAATCTGCATACAGAGAAGGGAAAAAAGATGGTTGCAAGAACCCCACCCAAGCTGAGAAAGATGGTGGCTCCTCTCAACCCTGTTCTGGTGAGAGAAACTCTCAGGAAGGTACCCAAGGACCCAATCCCTCTCTCTCTCTCTCTGCGCACTCGACTTTTGCCAAATTTTTCAACGTAGCGCTCATTTTGGGTGCCCATCCATCTGCAAGCTGAGAAAAGGATCGCCTTTTACGCGCTCTGTGTTCAGATGGGTCCTTCAAAATCTGATCTTTTTCTTGTCTCCAATGGTTTTTTGGTTTTTTTTTTTATGTGGGTCTGTGGAAAAGGTGGATCGGTGCATGGCGAGATTGGAGGAGCTGCAGTACACGGTGGCCGGCGGGAGAAAAGTGGTGGCCGGCGTGAGTTTGAGCCCTCGCAGCACTCGAGGTTATATCAAGACGAGCGTCAGGTGCAAGCAAGAATCAGTCAGGTGAAAATTTATCTTCAGGGCTTGTTTTGTGTGTTTTGACGGTTCTGTTCCTCGTGGGCACTCGAGTGCAAATTCTGAGTGTTGTTTTGGGTATATCCTGCTTGAAGCAGTGATTATACTAAATTTGGTGTTTTCTTTTTGCTTATTGTGATTTTGTAGGATCAAGAACTCTTCACTGAAAAAATCTCCCGTGGGCAAGTTTCCTCCAACTGCAGCAGGTACTCTCTCTCTCTCTCTCCGGGTATCAATTTTGGATTTTTCCAGTAAATATTGCCATATTGATCTTTCATGCCTAGTTGTCACAGTGTTTTGTTGGAAAGGGGTCTTCTTTTCTAAACGTTTGTGGCTTAAAAGATGGTTCTGTTGCTGATGGTTTATAATGCATTTCCAAGTTTTAGAGTTGGTGTACAGTGCCCAGGAAGATAGAAATTTTGACAAAACAAAACAAGCCCAGTACCAAGATTGATTTCAGTGACAAATCAATGATGTTTGTTTTGATTATGGGTTGGTTTGATCAATTGTTGGGATTACTCAAGTATTATGTTCGGTCCAGGAGACTGGCGACGGATGTCCTTACCAGCAATGCTGGTGGGTGAAACAGTGGGAGAAATTCTCCAAGCCAGCAAATTTGCAAGAGAAATTTTAGCTGCTGTTGCTCCTAAACCCAATCTTGTTGATGACCCGAAAACTCCGATGACCCAATCCAAGAACCGAAGACCGACGCATCACCCCGAAGACTCTGAGCTCAGGAGTAGAAGAAAGAGGGAGAAACAGAACAAGTTGAAATCTGAACCCAAATCGCCGACTCTCCAGAGAGCACGCTCGCGCATCAACTTCAAAGTCTCTCCTCCGAAGCAAAGAGAGAGCGAGAGAGATAATAACAGATACACGGCCAACAGAGTTTCCCCTAGGAACAGGCCTTGGGCTAAAAAGACTGTCCTTTTCCCCAACCCTTTGTTCCTCCCCGCAACGCCTGCCACAACCCAGAAGTTTTGCAAGACGAGGTCTCCAGTTATAGCCAAAAAGAACGTCGAAACTCCGCACAAGTTCTTGATCAAGTCACCACACTCAGCTTCCAAGTTCCAAGTCAAGATCAAGAGCCCGCCGAAAGTTTGTATCTCCCCGACAAGAGCTTTGAGCTTGAGCAAGAAGTTGCCAAAGCAATCGACCGCTGCGAAATTACGGAGGTCTTTCTCTCCTTCAAGATTGGCAAATAGATTGATGTCCCCATTGAAGAGCAGGAAATGCGTACACAAAAGCGACAATGGCTCGATGATGAGTGGGCTGAAACAGCGTCCTGCTGTTTCGACGACACCAATCCAATTCACTAGTCACAGCAGAATTCCACTGAGGAGTTAATGCTTATGTTTATGCACTGGTTGATGTGAAGAAAGGTTTTTTTCGTCGGAGAAATGTTCTCAAAGTTCATTCTTTGTTATCTCATCTGTGAGGTACTTTGGTAAATAACTCATTTGTTCATTGTTTATCTTTCTGGTGCTTTCTGCTACAGCGTAAAATGATATAGAACTTTGTGATGCATTGCCGCAGTCCTTAATGGTATAGAGACCTCTACATTGACTTCTGATTCTACAGGGTGTAGCAATATGGAAAGTTGATCTCGACCTTGTTTGTTATATTTCCTCTCTTTGCATTGATTTCTGTAGTTTCAATGTCCGAACGTTGAAAGAAGTATTCATACTTCAAATGACGGATTCCGCAGAATCGTACCTCAAGCCCCAGGAACCGAGATTACTTCACGTAATGCCTGTGTAGCAAGTACAATCACGCACTCGGACTAACACCGCCCTTATATTCACAACCGAAAACACTAGAGCACTATATACCATTGCCTTATGTTCTCGGTACGTTCTTCATGCATAACTCCCATTTTCCTTATGGAAATGGATGGGATTAATCCTGTAATTTTCTCTGGACACATGCACTCTCAGAGAACATCTTGATACCATCCAAGATATGCAGTCATTACAGGTTACAGAAGGCATAAGCAGAAGAAGATGGCCATGATAGAACCCTCCTTAATCTTTTATATCAGAAGCATGATTTTCTTATCTTTCAATTTACAACTGTCTTCTTTGGCACCTCTGGCAAGTCCTTGTAAAGAAGTTGTTCTGTTTCCCGGAAGGATCAAACCTGACACTATTAATTGTGAAAGTTCTATAAGATCAAGCTCCAAAGCTCCGATGATCTTCAGCAACTCATAACTCAAGTTGAAACTCCAACCATTCTTTAGCTTCAACAGCATAACAGACATGGAATTATTTCGAATTCAAGTTGCGAAATGCCAGTGAACTCTGAAACTCATCCACTTGTCACGATTCATGGCATCAAGGCCCTTGAATCGAGTTGTTGTACCAAGAATAGGAATGACTTATTTTTCAAATTAAATGATGCAGATTAGAATCGCAGTTGGATTTTACTTGTTATTCTTGTTGTGGTTTAGACTATGAAAATCCACATCGTTTTGACGTTGATAAAATATGTCATAAATATTCTCGTCTTAGCGTACTTAGTCTCTGAAACTTTGTGTGTTTTCATATATGTTGCACTGCAAACAGATAAGGTATGACACACAAAAGGGAAAAAAAATTCACATGGGATCTTTTCATTTACCAACTTATTGCAATTTCCAACTTATAAAAAACAAAGAAGGAAACAAAAAACGATGACTTCTCCCATGTCATCATTGAACATTGTCAAAAGCTTATCCATTGAAGAGCTGCAAATCTCTATATACTACATACAAATACAACCACTGGTGTTGGCACTCTTTCTCCCTAGTGCCTTGCATTGCTATGCTTCTCATTCAAAATAATGAAGGCGCCTACTATCTGTGACTTTGATCTTCCAGTGCCCATTAGTCAAATTGGCCTCCTTAGCTATGCCTCTCCACTTCCTTATTCTGAAGTCCATCTTCTCAGTTAACCCACAAAACGACTGCAATTCGCTCGGCATCGAATCGTAGACCTCCCACCACAGCCTATTCGCGGAGTCGCTCGCGAAAGCGTGGCGAGTCTCCATGTCCCAGTTGCAATCGTAGTCCCTGTAACACATCCACGGCTTTAGCCCCAAGAAATGCAGCGTGTAAAGATTGTCGGGGATCATGCGTTCTTCGTCTTTTCGATTCTCGAAGCTCTTCAACCAATTCAGCTTATTCGGCAACCGGTGCCACAATGTGAAGAACTCGTTTAGGAAGCCTTGGTCGCCACCGTTATAAGAATCCAACTCGAAGGATTTTGACATGAGGTCCTCAAAAATGCAACTTGATGGCTCGATCACCATGACACCTGAGTTGAACAGCACTCTATTGTTCGGCGCCGCCGATAACTGTGGATATACGAAGAACTCGTCGATGTTCCGGAGGACAATTAGGTCTGCATCGATAAAGATTACCTTGTCGTATTGCGTCAATTGCCACACTCTTAGCTTGCTGTAGTTCCACTCATTGTAAGCGCCCTTTTTAGCGTTTGGAGATCGGATCCGGTCTATGCGCCCGATCTTCCATCCAGCGGCTTGTAGGCCTGCTAAGGACTTGTCGCCGATCGAGTCGTCAGCTAGAAGGACTAGGTCTTTAGTCGAGCCGGTCCTCCTGATGCTTTGAGCCAAGGCGATTGCGCCGCAGACATAAGCTTCCGAAGAGTGAAGAACGGTTGCGTAGGCCTCTCGAGGGCGGTCAATCGTGCGGTTTGCCTTTCTTAGGGACGAAAGCAGCATGTATCCTCTCCACCTCTCTTTCCCTGGAAACCAGTCTGCAATGATGAGTATCTAATCTTTTACTTAATATCTAAGGATGAACATTCAATATATGGCGAGTATGGAAAAGAAGCAATCATAACTCAGGATATACACCCTGAAATTGGGAACCAGATTCAATCATTTAATGCTGATTAACAATTTACCAAATGATTGAATGCTCCCATGTATGCTCCCAGTACATATCTCTTCTAGGAAGAATCAAGATTCAAGAATTGGTTTTCCTCTGAAAGTTATTAATATCAAGACCCATGAAATGAAAGAAATCTGGTGTGCCGCATTGTAATCAGATTCTCTGACCAGGTTCATAAGACAGCTTTTAATGTATAATTCTTGAATTTTAACACTTGGTATGCTAAGACTAGTTTATATAGTTGGTATACTAAATGATGTGGGAGGTTATTAGTTGATTTTGAATATGGTCCGCTTGCTTACAGGTCTAATCACAATCTTCTAGCAACTCTGTAATTCACATTCTAATGTACCTAATATTTTTCTAAATTATTTCTTCACCAGGAGGAAAATTTATCATCCAATAAAAAACGTAAATGACAATATATGACGGAAATACTATCTAGATAAGCATAGACTCTCATATTTTTCCGCGTGCCCTAGGCCGAGCCTATTTATCTATCCATAAACTCGGAAGCATAGCCTATTTAACTGGTCCGAGAAATAAATTTGTTAAAGAACTCACCGGTCTCCGTATAGGCGGGAGGGAGTTGGCAAGACCCAACAGGCATCAAAACCTTCTGCTTCAATCTCCCTTGCTCAGGCTTATACACCCAGTAATCGCCCACTTGCCTCACCAGATCATCGCACCTGAAAATCTCGACCATCGGCCCGCACGACCCGAGGAAAACGACGTAGATTTTCCGGTTCATGTCCGGATTTATCCGCCCACTCTCGACCGCCAAATTAGCCACCACCAAGTTAACTTGCAGCCTAAACACATCCCTCAAACCTCTCCTACTGTCTCTGCCATCCCCGCACGGAACCTTGGCCACGATCACGTCGAGATCACGATAATCTTCAAACTTTGGCATCGGTATTTCAGGGCATGACGGCGTAGATCGCTTTGGATCTTCATTGATCCACTCGGGAAAGAAATTTTCCCAAGTGAGGTTTCTGGACACATGGTCGAATGTTACTTTGACCGCCTTTGAGAGGCCTTTCATGGCAAACTCGGGGTCGGATATGTTGTCGATATTCACGAACCCGGCGCGAACTTTCTTGCCATTCATTTCTTCCTCGACGAGGCGGAACCAAATGGGGAGTTCGGTCTCGTTCCGGACAAGGTGGACATTGTGGAGGAGAGTCTTTGTCCAAGCAGAAGATGATGATGGTGTGTTGAAGAGGTGTTTGGTTTTCCTGAAAGAGCCTGAGAGGATTAGGAGGGAGAAAGAGATGATGATGAGAGAGAGGATCAAGGGCTTATGCTTTGAATTTGCTCTTGAAGCCTTGGAGGCCATTTTTACTGAGCCTCTCACGTTCTTGAATCTTTTTTCTGCTTAGTTCAAGGTTTTGTTCTTGAATGTACAACTTATATAGGAGAAAGAAGAAAACAAACAAGAGAGAATGCGTGCATGAATCCACGTTGAGGCTGTGTAGTTCGCCACCTTTTTTTTTTTTTTATTGTTGCGTTTGAATTATATACAATTCTTAAAATAGTTTTAGGGATTTTATGCCCAAAACTATCTTATCCTTAAAATGGTACGTAGGTGAACAGGGATCCTACTTGACTTATGAAACGATTTTGTTTAACGATTATTTGGATTCTTGGTGATAATTTACTTCCCAAAATGCCGGCCAATGCCACTACTTATAGAATATTATACTTATACATTCTCGATTATAGAATGCATCTCAAGCACTTAATAAATGGGAGCTTTATAAATAACATATCTGTACGGAAAAGCAAGCTCTTTGATTCAAAATTAAGTAGAGAAATTGAAGAATCTTATAAGGTCAATTGCCTCAAAATTGCTTAATTTCATATAATCTGAGCGACCACATATTAAACGTATTATACCGATTATTACGGAGTTACTATGGATGATTGGATTGATCATTCTACTAAAACTCGTAACATTCGGTACCCTGAGGTTTTAGGTTGCGAAAAATATATAAATTTTCGCCTCTTCACTAATCATATGAAAGAGTAATCATGGAAGTATGATGGATTATGGGGAAATTGATAATGTAAACGATTTTCTCTTCTTATCGATAGCCAACAAGTTGACTTTTGATAAAGGAAAAAGTCACGTTGGGAAGGAAATCCATCCAGACAATTAAAAGTTGCTTTCCCAGGTATATGTAGGGCTAATCAAATTAGTTTCAATTAAAAAAAGATTAACAAAAACTGTATACCCAAGGTGGTGACCAACCAATAAGTTCACAAGTTGACCGCACATGTCAAATTAAATAGCCATAAAAAACCAATTTGTTGAATTAGACATTAAAGATTTTCCTTTACAAAGTAAGAAAACACATTTACATTTATAGGAAGGAATTTCTCGTGATTATAAAGCTCCGTTTGTTTCCCAGAAAATGAATAATTTAAAAAATATTTTCCTAAAAATAATCACATATATCGATTAAAATAATTAATAAACGAGAAAAATTTTCATTATCGACAATAATTTATGTCTCAAAATTTTCATGGTCGATGAAAATATTTTTCGTTTGTTAATTTTTATATGCAATACTAGCAATCATTTTTAGGAAAATATTTTTCAGATTATTCATTTTTTGCGAAATAAACAGAGCTTATAAGTGCAAGTTAAAATCCAAAACTCAATTCACTAATTATTCACCTTTAAATGGACAAGTCAGATAGTTACCGAATTAGCTTAATCATATCCACGTGTCACATCCTCATTGGCTTCGGCATTACGCGGTCAATTAGTGACGGATGCGGAATTGTATTTTAGGTTATGACGCTAAGCTTGTGAAATGGATGTCCCCGATTTATTTCCTTCCTTTAGGAAAATGAGTCAAGTTATTCGCAATAAATGACTGTACATCTGTTGTAAAAAATAATTAATATTATCTATAGACTAAGATAACTTCATCGGTTCCACTTATGTTGCGGAAAATGAATGATTTTAACAATATTTTCTTAAAAGTTAATAGCTCATATCGCTTGAAAAAAAGTAATCGATAAAAAATATTTTCCTTTACTACTAACAATTTATGTCTACAAAATTTCATTTATGCAAGGGATACAAGAGATTATTTCTCTAAGAAAAACGAAGCAAAAATTGATGACTTCGTCCATGTCATCATTGAACATTGTCAAAAGCTCTTCCTTTGTAGTGCTATCAAACTCTATATACTACATACAGATACAACCACTGGTGTGGGTACTCTTTCTCCCTAAGTTTCTTCCATTGCTATGCTTCTCATTCAAAATAATGAAGGCGCCTACTATCCGTGACTTTGATCTTCCAGTGCCCATTAGTCAAATTGGCCTCCTTAGCTATGCCTCTCCACTTCCTTATTCTGAAGTCCATCTTCTCAGTTAACCCACAAAACGACTGCAATTCGCTCGGCATCGAATCATAGACGTCCCACCACGGCCTGTTCGCGGAGTCGCTGGCGAAAGCGTGGCGAGTCTCCATGTCCCAATTGCAATCGTAGTCCCTGTAACACATCCACGGCTTTAGCCCCAAGAAATGCAGCGTGTAAAGATTGTCGGGGATCGCGCGTTCTTCGTCTTTTCGATTGTCAAAGCTCTTCAACCAATTCAGCCTACTCGGCAACCGGTGCCACCATGTGAAGAACTCGTTTAGGAAGCCTTGGTCGCCACCGTTATAAGAATCCAACTCGAAGGATTTCGACATGAGGTCCTCGAAAACGCAACTTGATGGCTCAATCACTATGACACCTGAGTTGAACAGCAGTCTATTGTTCGGCGCCGCCGATAACTGTGGATATACGAAGAACTCGTCGATGTTCCGGAGCACAATTAGGTCTGCATCGATAAAGATTACCTTGTCGTATTGCGTCAATTGCCACACTCTTAACTTGCTGTAGTTCCACTCATTGTAAGCGCCCTTTTTAGCGTTTGGAGATCGGATCCGGTCTATGCGCCCGATCTTCCATCCAGCGGCTTGTAGGCCTGCTAGGGACTTGTCGCCGATCGAGTCGTCGGCTAGAAGGACTAGGTCTTTAGTCGAGCCGGTCCTCCTGATGCTTTGAGCCAAGGCTATTGCGCCGCAGACATAAGCTTCCGAAGAGTGAAGAACGGTTGCGTAGGCCTCTCGAGGGCGGTACATCGTGCGGTTTGCCTTTCTTAGGGACGAAAGCAGCAGGTATCCTCTCCACCTCTCTTTCCCTGGAAACCAGTCAACAAATGTTTTTTAGGGTGCGTTTTTATCGAGTGAGAGTGTTTCCCGAAAATTAGTTTTCCGCATTCACCAGTTTTGTTCATTGAAAATGACTAGTCAATCGAAATCAATTTCCAATTAACGAAAACATACATGCATAAAATTAGGGAAGGAATTCCTAATTCTAAATAGGAGAGAATACAATTGCTCCTTTTGAATTTTTTAATATTTTTTTTTTATTTTTCCTTCTCCTTCCGCTGGTCGCTGGACCTTGGCAACGGCTGATGACCGACCATAGGCGCGGGCCGGCGAGGTCGAGCTCAACAGATCCCGGCGAGGCTCGACCTTGCCGGCCTCCAGCAAGGCTCAAGCTTGCCCGAGGCCGGCGAGGTCGAGCCTTGCTTGTGGCAAGTCGCCGGCCATTCAAGGTCTGGCAACCGGCAAATGAAGAAAGGAAAAAAATAAAAAATAAAAAATTATTTAAAAATTCGATTTAAAGTCATGAGATTGAAATCATTTTCCAAATGAAATTCAAATACCATAAGACATTGTCAGTCACATATCGCCAAATAAAGGAAAACTATCCATTTTTCAATATGATTTTCTCTGACAATAGTTTCCTTTATCACGAAAGGCATCTTTAATTAAAGTTGACACACGATAATTAGTGAGTATTTAATCCTTTACTGATTATCTATCTAAGAATGAATATTCAATATATGGCTAATATGGAAAAGAAGCGGTCATAACTCACAATAAACGGAACCAGATTCAATCATTTAATGCTGATTAACAATTTACCAAATGTTTGAATGCTCCCATATATGCTCCTAGTACATCTCTTCTAGTAAGAATCAAGATTCAAGAATTGGTTTTCCTCTGAAAGTTATTAATGTCAAGGCCCATGAAATGAAAGAAATCCGGTGTGCCGCATTGTAAACAGATTCTCTCATCAGGCTTATTAAGACTGCTTTTAATGTAAAATTCGTGAATTTTAACATTTGGTATGCTAAAACTACTTTATAAAGTTGGTACTCAATGACGTGGCGGGTTATTAGTTGATCTTTAATATAACTCTGTAATTCACATTTTAATGTACCTAAATATTTTTCTAAATTATTTCCTTGCTAGGAGGAAATTTATCATCCGGTCAAAAACATATAAATGACAATATATGACGGAAATACAATCTAGATAAGCATAGACTCTCATATTTTTCCACGTGCCCTATGCCGAGTCTATTTATGTGTTAACGGGGTTGCCTTGGTTTTTGTCCAAGGCTGCATCCTTCGGTTAAGAGGACGGCAGAGGACGGCCGTGTCACTCCCCCTTCCTGGTAAAAATCGGGGTGTGACAATTGATCTATCCGTAAACTCGGAAGCATAGCCTATTTAATTGAGTCGAGAAATAAATTTGTCGAAGAACTTACCGGTCTCCGTATAGGCGGGAGCGAGTTGGCAAGACCCAACAGGCATCAAAACCTTCTGCTTCAATCTCCCTTGCTCAGGCCTATACACCCAGTAATCGCCCACTTGCCTCATCAGATCATCGCACCTGAAAATCCCGACCATCGGCCCGCACGACCCGAGGAAAACGACGTAGATTTTCCGGTTCATGTCCGGATTTATCCGCCCGCTCTTGACCGCCAAATTAGCCACCACCAAGTTAACTTGCAGCCTAAACACATCCCTCAAACCTCTCCTACTGTCTCCGCCATCCCCACACGGAACCTTGGCCACGATCACGTCGAGATCACGATAATCATCAAACTTTGGCATCGGTATTTCAGGGCACGTCGGCTTAGATCGCTTTGGATCTTCATTGATCCACTCAGGAAAGAAATTTGTCCACGTGAGGTTTCCGGACACATGGTCGAATGTTACTTTGACCGCCTTCGCGAGGCCTTTCATTGCGAACTCGGGGTCGGATATGTCGTCAATATTGACGAACCCGGCGCGAACTTTCTTGCCCTTCATTTCTTCCTCAACGAGGCGGAACCAGATGGGGAGTTCGGTCTCGTTCCTGACAGGGCGGGCACGGTGGAGGAGAGTCCTTGCCCGAGCAGACGACGATGATGATGGTGTGTTCAAGAGGCGTTTGGTTTTCCTGAAAGAGCCTGAGAGGATTAGGAGGGAGAAAGA